GATGCAATCAGCTGGTTTTCCTTAGATAGAAAACTTTGAATCAATCTGACTGGATGACATGTGTCGTGAATTGACGCCATAGAAATAAACTTTCAGTACAATTGAAATTGAATTGAATAAATCATAAAAAGGTTAACAATATTCTATAAAAACCATTTTGATTTGTTTACGTTTCTTCTTTCAGCCTTAAACTACATTTCCTTTATTACAACAGAAAATAAACATGGTTCCAAAATCCTATTTATACTTTTTGAACTAAAACATTTTGAACTGGAAACCAATTCTGAGTAAATCCAAAGAAAGTCAATTTATCTATTTTATTTAGATTTAGTTTTTTTCATTATTTATCAATGTTTTTTGGAAGCAACCACGTCCACCTCCGCTTCATAGATTCATAAAGGTTGGACCAAAAATAATCATGACTATGAAAAGACAACATCCTTCAAAAGATTATTTCTTGTTTTTGTTGGTTGAAATGATGGTTTGATCACATCGTCAAACAACCAAGGAGATCAACAAAATATATCTCCTTTCTATGTTGTAGGCCTGCACTGGAAAAACGATCTAGAAATAAGTAAAAACGTTTTAAATTAAGTGTATTTACCCTTAATTTGAGCAGGTAAATGAGATAGTATGCCAATGGAATGAGTATTTTTACTCTTAAAATAAGATAATTAGATAATATGCACTTCAAATAAGACAATGCAATTGTGTTTTCTTATTTTAAGTGTAAATTTTCTTTTTCCATTGGCAAAGTGTATCTTTTACCTCCTCAATCCAAGAACAAATGCACTTAGTTTAAGGAAAAATGACTGATCTAGATTTTGATTTTTTCCAGTGTGGATGATATGGTAAATTGTAAAGTGCATTGAGATGAAATGTGTTGTAAATTCACGCTATAGAGATAAACTGAATTGAATGTAGAGGATCTAAATGGTTTCAGATGAAACAGAAGAAGAAACGCTTGTTCAGTCAGATGAACTGAACCATCGGCGCCATCTGCTGGACCGTCCTCTGGATCGGTAAGGTCTGCTTCATGGTGGTAGAACCATCTCCCCTTTCCAGGTGAGGAGGTAACAGCCCAGCTGAGCTCCGTCCTCCGAAAAGCAGGTGGACTCTGGAACCAGTGGACATTTTCTCCTTTTTTTCCAGAAGTTTTTGTATTTTTGTCTGAGTATCAGATTGTCTTTCTGATCCAGGAGTCTGACAAAAGGTCATTATGGCTTCATGGCGACAATAAAAACTGAACCTGACAAAGCAGGTAAAGATCTTCACCACACCTGAGCAGCAGCACCTTTTAACCTCAATCTGTTCTATTCACACATTTCTGTAGATCTGTCATTAACAGATTGACTTATTATTAAGCCCAAAACATCTAACCTCACTCATCAGGCAGGAGCGGTTCCTTTTTAAACTCATTTAATTTTTATATTCTATCCTAAAGTAGCCTGAATCCTCTGGATCTGGATGTGTTGAGCAGAACCAGAACCATTGGACAGTTTTAGGAGCCAATCAGAAGGCTGCACAGGTGGCTCTGTTCTTCAGGTGACCTCAGTGTCATGTCCTCGGTTCAGTCGATCCTGATCGTACCCAAAGCGTCAGAGAGTTCAGGCTCATCCAAACCCACTGCACACTCCTAGAAATAGAACTGGTCCCAGTTTAACTTTGATTCTGGTTCTTTCTGCCTGTTTAAATGTTCAGCACCTTGGTGTTACACTGCCCCCTGCTGGCTTTAGTGCTTATCCAGAAAATTCAGGGATTGGTTCAAAATTTTATTTTTGAGTGTACCTGACAGTTAAGATGGGCATTCAATTCAATTCAGTTTATTTCTATAGCTCCAATTCACATCATGTCATCTCAAGGAACTTTCCAGTTCACCAGATCATCCAGTCAGACTAATTTAA